GCAACCCGGTAGGACAGAGTAGAACTGCCCCATAGAGTTTCCAAGGAGTGCCTGGCGGACTCAAACCGCCAACCTTTTGGTTAGCAGACGTAGCACTTAACCACTCCGCCACCAGGGTTTCCAAAGACCTTACAAATGGCTGATACTTTAAAGACAATCTTAATAGTCAGGTTCTCCAGAATGGTTCATTCTAACTTCATTGAGGATGTAATCGGGTTTTGATGTTTAATTTCTAGGTTAATGTTTATTCCCCGATACGTTCACGAAGAAAATTAAGCACCTTTTGAAAAATCACATATTACAAATAAGAACCAAATTATCAAGATAGAAATGTTAATAAGTTCCCCCCAAAAGCTTGCTAAATGTAATGGCCCCATATTTTAATCTTTATTTCCCTGAGAAAGAATTTGTTCTCTAAAGTACTTTCTTTGTATTTCATTGGAATTTAAGTTAGGATGGTTAAATCAACAAGGCATGGTTTTAAGTACTCCTTTTATTTCTTTATATACTTATAATAATTGTTCCAAGAACAATTTGGCGGGGGGGGGTGCAGGTGAATGAAAGCATTTTTTCTTCTACAACACTAAACAAAAGCAGATTATATAGAATATAGAAAAAGATATAAGGAGTTGTCTGAGTTTACTTCGAAACGCAATAATAAAGTGATATCTTGGAGTGGACCTTAAATAACTGACTAGAATATTGCATTTCACCTTTAAGATTATATACAAAAGATCTATCATAGCTCTGGACTATGTTTAAAAGGATACCTGAGAGAAAAGTCATACCAGGTCTCCCATTAGGCAATTTTAATATTAAAAAGGTGGAGTGTTATAAGGAATTCTCAAATATTGATTAAATGACTTGGTAATGTAATAAACAAACTCTAGCTAATAGTCATTATTAACCTACAGTGATAATTATGATGGCTAACTTTAGCACTTAACCAGCAACCGGTTGCTATAGACTCAATTCCAACGCACGGTGACCCTATGTGTGTCAGAGTAGAACTGTGCTCCATAGGGTTTTCAATGGCTGATTTTTTGGAAGTAGATCACCAGGCCTTTGCTCCAAGGCACCCCTGAGTGGAATCGAACTGCAAACCTTTTCATTAGCAGCCAAGCACGTTAACCTTTAATGCACCACCCAGGGACTTGAATTTTAGGAGTTACTAAGAGCTAAGTACTATGCTTCCTGCTTTGTTACTATTATATTCATCATAAAAGAACCAGGTAGAGGGGGTGTGAGGTGGGGAGCTTAGCTATTTTAAGTAATTTACTCAAGGCTACACAGCTACTCACAGGAATCAGGATTAGAACGTTTTAGAACAACCAGAAAAGCATACATTATAAGCATACATTATCAAGTCCAAGCTAGCACTAAAAATCAGCAATTATTTATATACTTGAATTTGTATACCAGAGTACATAAAATAAACATTCTTTCCATTTTCTAAGTTTGGCATTAGCTAGGTAATCTTAAAATTGGTCAAATTATGGACTTTTTCATCATTTATCTTTGAAAAATGCTATTTTCTACATCTACTTTTGTATGCAGGGACTGTATTAACATTTTACTTCTTTCTCCCTAGCACAGTGCCTGGCATATAATAAGTACTCAAACCTTACTGAGTGATTCATAGTCCTGTTTTTTTGTAGAATGCTGTATGTCTTTAAAATGAAAACAATGGACTTATTTTTCTATATAATACACAAATTTTTCTGGTTCTCTTAGATTAGACATGAGTATAAGAAAACAAAATAGAACTAACTTTTTTCTTATCCAAGTACCTCTGACATCTCACAAAGGAGGGAAAAAAGCTATATTTCTTGTTCTCTTTATAGCTCTTTAAAATAGATACATTTCTCATGAAAGGAACTCCAGAGAGATAACTATAAACTTTATAATTCATTTTCATAAAAAACCACAAAATAGGGACTTAAATTTGTCACTCTTCTTTGATTTACTAACTCTATACAAAAACTTTTATATAAGAATACTCACTGAATGATACATTTTTAAAAAATATATAAATATGTGAAATATTTAAATATATTACCTTAGTGTCATACGCATCATATGACATAACAGACAATGCAGCTATTAAAAATACTTTCTTGAAGGATGGTTAAAAACATGAGAAATGTTTATAG